TGAATTTTGGACCGTTGGGGCATCACAGATGACATGTGAACCATCCTCCATTCCTCTCTGTCTTCAGCACTACCCACTGCATTGCCGAGTGTTAGTCCTGTCCACTCTTTGATGTTATCCTCCCACCTTTTTCTTTGTCTTCCTCTTCTTCTCCCTCCTCTTGTGGTCCCCTGCAATATTTCTTTGGCAAGGACCTTGTTTCCTTGTTACGTGACCGTACCATTGTAGTTTGCGTTTTTTCACAGTCACCAGTAGGTCATCATACTCTCCAATTGCCTACGAACCCTTTCATTCACTGTATCATTGGAGATATGGTCCCTATAGCAGATGCCAAAAATGCTTCTGAAGCATCTCATCTCCATCACCTTTATTTTCCTTTCAAGATCGGCTGTTAATGTCCAGGATTCGCAGGCATACAGGAAAATGGAGAGGACTAATGAGTGCATCAGCCTGATTTTGGTGCTGGGGGCTATATTTTTGTCATTCCATATTTTCTTGACCTCTTTAGTCTGCGCCATCCTGGACATCAGTTCGGGCTTGGAGCCTTCATCTGAGACTATTGCTCCTAGGTATTTGAAGCGGCCCACAGTCTTTAGTCTTTCCTCCCAGACCTTAATTTCAGTTAATTTCAGTGGTGATGACTGTGGTGTTATTTGTCATTAGTTTTGTCTTTTCAGCACTGATTAGCATGCCGTAGGACGACGAGGTCTTATCGAGACGCTTTACCAGGTTGGCTAGCTCTTCTTCGTTCCCAGCCAGTACGTCTATGTCGTCCGCAAAGCGTAGGTTGGTAATTGTTCTGCCACCAATGCTGACTGTCCCTTCATGCGCTTCCAGAGCATCTGACATAATTCTCTCTAGGAAGATGTTGAATAGGGTGGGGGAGAACAGGCAGCCTTGTTGTACTCCAACCGTGGTCTTGAACCATTCTCCGATGTTGTTGTTGAGAAAGACTGCACTGGGGGCCTTATCATAGAGGTTGCATATCATTCTGGTGAGGTTTGTGTTGATGTTGTAGTACCTCATGGTGGCCCATAAAGCAACATGCCAAACCCTGTCGAATGCTTTCTTGAAGTCAACAAAGACGTGGTATAGGTGTTGTTGGTGTTGAGCATATTTCTCACACAGTATTCGGAGGTTTAGAATCTGCTCAGTAGTGCCCCGTCCTTGCCTGAAGCCCGCCTGTTCTTCAGCAATGATTCTGTCGGCATATGGTTTTAGTCGGTTCAATATGACCTTCAGCATGATCTTGCTTGGATGGCTTATTATACTAATGGTGCGATAGTTATGTGCATAGCTGTAGGTTACCTTTTTTGTGGAGGGTGACGATGAGCGATTGGGTCCATGGTTTGGGCCATTCTCCTGTAAGCCATTTTTTGTTACAAATATTGAATAGGGCACTTATCATTGCTTCTCCTCCTTGTTTCATCAACTCGGCAGGGATATTATCCGCTCCTGTGGCCTTTCCTGTTTGGAGTGCTTGGACTGCTGCTTCTACTTCTGCGTGGAGAATAGGGTAGTTATCATTGTCTGTTGCTGGAGGGACATTAAGAATCTCTGGGTCTATCCTTATACTTTCATTTTACAGTTTTGTACAGTATTCAGTCCATCGTTTGATGATTTCATTTTCCTCAGTTAAACATTTACCATTTTTATCCTGTATGGTAGTACTACGCCCTTGTTTTGCAGTGGTTAATTCTTTCACCAACTGGTAAGCTTTTTTGCTATTGTTTTTCTTCCAGCAGTTTTCAATGTCGTAGCATTGCTCTTCAATCCAGTTCTTCCTTGCCCTCCTCATACCTTTGTTGATGGCTTGGTTAACTGTCCTATATTTAGTGGCCCCTCTGTACCTACCATTTTTGTTTTCTTTAACTGCCCCCGTTTATCACACAGATCAAGTATGTCAGCTGTCACCCATGGTTTTCAGGTTGGTCGATGTTTACTGAGGATGTCGTGAGCTGTGTCCGTCACAGTTGTGTTGAAGTTATCAATCAATGTGTCCATGTTTGAACATTCGGCATCTATGGTGTTAAGCACTGCAAATGTTCCTCCTATTATTGCTTGGAAGGCTTCTGCTACTTTAGGATCCTTCAGCTTTTCAAGGTCGAATTTGATTCTGGTATTTCCTTTTTTTGTTTACCCTCTTTTAGTGCAGTCTAAAGGTCATCATGACTAGGTCGTGGTGGCTTCCAATGTCAGCTCCAGGGAAGCTGCGAGTCTTGGCAATGCTTATACTAGACCGGAAGCGTGTTTGCAACATGATGAAGTCAATCTGGTTGTGGTATTTCCCATTGGGGCTGTGCCATGTGGTTTTCCTAGACATATTATGTGCACCCAATGTGTTGGCCAGTTCGTTGAAGCTGGCGAATTCCAAGAGCCTCAGACCTCTCTCGTTTGAAGTTGCGTTACAGTGGTGTCCGCACGTTCCTTTCCAGTTTTCATAGGCATCTTCTCCTACTTTGGCATTCCAATCACCTTGAACAACAAGAACGTCCTTCTTGGGTCTTTGGTTTAGCACATCCTGTAGTTGATGGTAGAAGTCGTCCACATCTTCGTCACTATAATCTGTAGTTGGTGCATACGCCTGCACGATGGTGATGTTGAACGGTGTTGCCCTTAGACGAAGAGTGATGAGTCGGCTTGAAACCAGTCGACAGCTCATAATACTGTTCTTAATGTTTTTGTGGACGAGGAATCCAACTCCTTGTTCGTGTGTGTCCTCCCGTCCACTAAAATACAGTATGTGGCCCTCCTGGGTCGATATTTAGCCAAAGTTTTTCCATCTCATTTCGTACAGACCTAGGATGTCCCGTCTGTATCTGCTCATTTCATGAACTAATTCCTCCACCTGCCCATTTCTCTCAATGATCTCATGGTCCAGGTACCTAGTGTAATGTTATTCCTGGCACTGATACTGTTTTTTGGCTGACCAGTAGCATATTTTCCACCTCCGTCCCGGTCAACAATGGAAGGCGCAGCCCTTTTTAACCCGGGAGACGGCCGAGTCGGTATGGATTGTGAATCTGTTCTCATGTACCGGTACATGTAGCATACCTAAGGCAGCTGTTGCATGGCGGAGCCCAACCCTCTCCATGCCTAACCATATTACAATTTAAAAATAATTAAAAGTTCGAATTTTCCGGCTTTATCAGATGTAAAACTCTTCTGCGGTCGTTCTTTCTATGGATAATGTAGCTAAACCAACAAAACGATCTAGAGGCATTGTAGAACAAATATATGTTTTTAAGCACGGGCTTCAAAAAGGTTCTCTCAGCTATTGCAAAAACTGTCATTGGAAGTGTTAGCAAAAATTCACATTGCCACAAGCACATTTGGAATGGGGAGCAATGAAGCCCATTCAACATAGATGGTCAAATACACCTCTGGGCTGGACTTTTTTGTTAGTATATTCCATAAACCAAATAACTCATCAAGTAGCACTGTTGCATTGATTAATGTCAGCTGAATATTCATTTTAAGATGCTAAAACTATTTGAAAGTCTATGCAATCTTTGAGATGTCATACAAAAATCCAAAGAAGTTGTTGCAGGATGACAAGTGTAAGATGATGACTATCACAATCTTACTTAATGTCATACAAAAGTCCAAATAAGATAATTTTCTGGGTCAAGAATTGGATCATATGGACCTTCAGAGTCAAATTGTTTCTTTTTAGTCAAGATTTTAGCTCTCTTTCCTAAGAAAAAATTGCATTGAATGCCTAGTTCCTCTGCCAAAGAATTCACCATTGTAATAATAATTGCTTTAGCAAAAACTTCATCTATTCTGTCAAAAACTTCATCTATTCTGTCAAAAACTTCATCTATTGTGTCAAAAACTTCATCTGTTCTGTAATACACGAGAATTTTTTCTTCTTATTTTTCTATCAACTACTCAAAGAGATTTAAAAATAAGATCTTTTTTCTTGAAGAGTTTTGCTAGATAATTTGATCTCAAATAAACTATAAAATCACTAATGGACAAATACACTTGAAACAAGAATAGTTTTTTTGTTTTTTTTTGGCCATTCTCTTAGCTTTTGCATGTTAGCCAGTTCAATGTCGTCCAGTTAGTGAAATGTCTTGTCAGCCATTGAAATGAATGCATTGTACATTTTAAAAGTTTGGTAGTGTATTAAATTGACTCTAGTGCTGCAGCAAGGGTTAGTGCCCCTTATGCAGTGCCAAGACCTTAGCTTCCACTAGCTAAACAAAAACACCACCACCACCACCACCACCACCATGCCCCTAACAGAGAATGCAGCTCCTCACTGCTTTGATGCACCCCCCCCCCCCCCCCAATCTTCCTCCTACTGTTAAACCAAGAGCCTCTTAGACTTAGACATTTCCTACTCATTCAATCCTGCAATATTTTGATGCAGACAAAAAGTGCACATGTATATCTTTTGAATTCTACCAAAATATGTTACAGTTTCCAAGCAAACCCCTTTGTAGCTTCATTAATTGCCACATTTAATAAATGAGCATTGCATGGGACACAAAATCTTCTTTTCAGCTCTCTATTCGCTCAAGCTCGTTCTACTATCGTCACATAAACACATTTTTTTCTCATAATTTTTTTTTTGATTTTATTTCTATCTGCATGAAAAAACTTCTGCTCTAGTTCTAAATAGTAAGCTGTATAGTGCCTATATCTAAAAGCGGCACTGGGTGTGGATAATGTATGTTGAAATGGTGCGTTGCTGTTAGGACAAATTTGCTCTGTCAAGCATCGTGCACTAGCTTTGCTAAGTTTTTATTAACATCTTATGAAACACTAACCCTCCTCTATTAACTATTCAAAGTTTTTGTCAATATCCTAATAATTTGGATTTCCTACTATAGGCCTACAAAATTTAGCAACAGGCATACTTGCACTGTATGTAACAGAGGTTTTAAACTACCAGAAGGGCAGGATGATCATAATTTGATAGCCCAAGGGCATCAACACACTTAAATGTCTTTTTTCTAAATAGTTTTATTACATTTATTTAACACAGATCACAGTAAAAAGATTTCACCCTGACCTGGTAAAGCCTCAGCCATAGAGAGAGCACTGTAGCCTGAAAACATGCCAATATCTAAGATTCGTTTTGCTTTTTGTAGACTCAAAACAGCCTTGAGAAACTGACCTGACAAAAGGGTAGGAAAATTATGTTGTTGTTAATCATATATTACTTAATACAATTTAAAAGTATAATTTCTCAAAGATTTTACAGCTTAATTAAAAATGTAATAGAAGTTTTTTTTTTATGTTTTACCCTCCAACGCTCCACTCATCATGAATGGTTTAAGCAGCCATGTTGTTTTGCCTTCTTGAAATGGAGTCTCCCAATCATGCTTATTAGTTTTTTCAATGATATCTCTGCAGGTTTCACTTTCTTTGGTGGTGGTATTAAGTGTGTACTCTTCCCTTTCAGTCACCAAATTGCGGACTCCTTCCAGAGCTTCAACCAGATCAGGTGCAGCCCCTGAGTTTTTTGCAAGTTCTATCGTTTTTTCAAGAGCAACAACTGTTGGGTCATAGTGGGATGGTGGGATGAAATCACGAGACATTGTCAGATATTTATTGCAGGCAAATCTGAGGACCAAAATAGTTCAAATATTGAAATGTATTTAATGCAGATGCAAGTCAGTGGGATAGGTGGGCCTCAGGGATGGGCATAGCAAGGTGGGCCTCAGATATAGGCATAGCAAGGTGGGCCTCAGGGATAGGCATAGCAAGGTGGGCCTCAGGGATAGGTATAGCAAGGTGGGCCTCAGGGATAGGCATAGCAAGGTGGGCCTCAGGGATAGGCATAGCAAGGTGGGCCTCAGGGATAGGCATAGCAAGGTGGGCCTCAGGGATAGGCATAGCAAGGTGGGCCTCAGGGATAGGCATAGCAAGGTGGGCCTCAGGGATAGGCATAACAAGGTGGGCCTCAGGGATAGGCATAGCAAGGTAGGCCTCAGGGATAGGCATAGCAAGGTGGGCCTCAGGGATAGGCATAGCAAGGTAGGCCTCAGGGATAGGCATAGCAAGGTGGGCCTCAGATATAGGCATAGCAAGGTGGGCCTCAGGGATAGGCATAGCAAGGTGGGCCTCAGGGATAGGTATAGGAAGCTGGGCCTCGATTTCGGATTTTAGCATAGTTCATCATTTATTAAAGATTACCCCAAGTCTACAAGCCAACTCCACCCTAGGTTTCATCCGAAGAAATCTGGGCCACTGCCTAACTTCCTGCAAACGAAATGCCTATCTCGCACTTGTCCACTACTGAAATATGGTGCGATCATCTGGGACCCACACCTTAAGCAAGATGTGGACACGATGGAGCAAATTCAACGTAACGCGGTGCGTTTTATCACTCGCGACTACAAATCCACCACTTCTGGCTTCGTCACTGGCCTCTTAAAAGGATTTGACATCCCCCCCATAAGGACAGACGAGAGGGACTCTGCCTGATATTCTTATATAAAGTGATCATGGGACTGGTGCGGCCATCCCAGCAGGCACGTACCTAACACCACAGAAGCCGGGTAGACTGATCAGAGCAAAACACTCACTGAGCACGGACTTCACCACTGACATTCCCATAAACAATTTCACCAGAAACAATAGCAAATGCTTCAAAGTGCCTCAGTGCAACACAGTGCAGTATCAATAATCTTTCTTCACACGCACAATAATAGCATGGAACCACCTTAACTATTCCACTGTGAACTCGACATTGGTCGAAAGCTTCAAGGCTGCCCTGGCATCAGCGAGGAGCTATTAGAATAGCAACATCATATCCACTACCGTTGCAAAGATGCCAGTACATGGATGCAGCAACGAAACATTACCAGAAGCAGTAAATTTTTACTTTATTATTCAGAAATATTCAGTTTTTTAATATGATCTGATGGGAAAATTCTTCTACGGCGCGCCACATTGACAAATGTAAAGCTATTTGGGGGCCGCATGTATATCATGTCCAATTTTTACATTTCGATAAACATTTCTCTATATTAAAATCGGTAAATTCACATTTTAGCATTACATGACATAAGTCAAGGACTGTAAAAAAAAAAAAAAAAAAAAAAAATTAAAAAAAAATTTGAATTTTACATTTCGATAAACATTTCTCTATATTAAAATCGGTAAATTCACATTTTAGGAATAAATGACATAAGTAAAGGAATGTAAAAAAAAAAAAAAAAAAAAGAAATTAGAAAGAAATTTGATAAAAATGTTTAAAAAATCTCATAACAGTTCATGAAATTCAGTAAAATTCAACAAAATAACTTAAAAACAAAGTAATGTTTTTATTTCTAAAAGCCTTCAAGGGTCGCTTAATATCAGTTTCCCACCCCTGATCTAGCCTAATACTAGCAATTAATAGGTATTAAGGTAATATAGTAAGGCCAATGTCTGTGCTAATTTCTTTTACTAATTTATATGCACATTCGTTGATTCATACTGTCCATATTATTCATCAAATGATCATATTTTTTACGAGAAACATACTAGACATACTTAACTTACTATAGTATGTTGATGGTGAATATTATGCAATCAATGAAATTAATATCAACTTAATAAAGTTAATATTTAGTGAAGCGCAGTGAGCCTAACCTTAGGCTGGGGTACTGCGCTATATAAACTATATAAAACCACCGAAGAATAATATTAATATACCGTATGAATTGTATGGATATTGCTGTAGCCTCAGACTGATAAAAAGTGACAAAAAATCAGGCCAAACATTGACAATAAACAAACTTATTAATGATTAATCATATAATCAATTTTTTATATATTAAAAATTCACTTAAAACCAATGAAAATACATGAAAGTGAAAGCTAGCTCTTTCGAATGATATGCCAGGGCTGCCACTCACTTTTTTTAAATTTCCCAAGATTTGGTCATGAAATTTCCCAAGATTTCCCAAGATCAAAATTAGTATATAGGAGTTCTTTTTTTAAAGTGGGCGGGTTGGGGGGGGGGGGAGGGAGTTTCCTATGTCCTTAATGTAATATTAGATTGAATTAATGCCCCTGAAACACATGGTACAATAATTGCCTGAATTTTATTCAAAATGACATTTTAAAAAAAATTTTTTTTTAGGGGGGGGGGGGGGGGGGGGGGGGGGAGGGAGTTTCCTATGTCCTTAATGTAATAATAGATTGAATTAATGCCCCTGAAACACATGGTACAATAATTGACTGAAATTTATTCAAAATGACATTTTAAAAAAATGTTTATCACATAAAAGGAATTAACAATTTTAAAAAAAAAATTATATTTTATTATCCAAAATATCAATACCCACTGGAAGTTAGGCTACTAAATGTTACCTCCGAATTTTCTCTGGTAAAAATATCATCTACAATCCACGTGTAATAGAAGTCACTTGGAAATAAAGCGCACAAGTCTAATCAACACACAATTCCTTTAACAAAGGCAAAAGGTTCTTCATCAAAAAATGTGTTCTCTTATTCTAAGTCTGTTGATTAGTAATTGGATTTGCAAAGCTATTAAGCAAAATGTGTTAATAATAATTGTAGTTAAAATGGATTCAGTGTCGTAGCGAGGGTGTTTGGCGCCCGGGGACAAGATTCACGCCCGGGGACAAGATCCATTTTTAGCGCCCCTTTTTCTTTTTTTTCAACTCTCAAACCCATTATTTTCATCAATAAAATAATATCAAAGCACATTTTGGCGTCCCTAGCTCTAACTAGCTGGCACCCGGTGACATCTGTCCCCCCCTGCCCCCACCATGCTACGCCTCTGAATGAATTAATAGTATTATGAAAGCAATAAGTATTTTTATTTTTTCTTGTAAATTTACATTATATGATTTTTTTCAAAAGAAATACTGTCTAAAGGAATTTTTCACCTACAATAGATCATTTTAATACCTTAGTTACCTGTGTGTCAATCCACAAATATTTTTTCCAATAGATGAAAATTAAGCTAGATTTTTTAAAGATGCATAATATTTTGAACACATTGTATAAGTAATTGAAATAATCCAATTTTAAATTTTACTATGGGCCATGGGTTCTCTTTGGTTTGTACTGTTTTTTGTATGGTTGCTAATGTCTTATACACATGATAAAGTTTCCGAGCTTACTATTTATTCTTTCCCTCTTTATTTTTTTATATAATTTATATATATTTTTTTTTTTTTTTTTTTTTTTGTTTAATAAACAATTAACACCTGGATGTAATTTGTACATCTTCTACTTAAAAAAAAAAAAAGAGAAAATTAAATTTTCTATAATTATTAACTTGTTATTAATTTACAATATTAACTTTAATTTCAGAAGAGTTCTTATTTATTTATTAAATGGTTTTAAAAATTAAAACCAGATAAAAATATTTTAAAAATTAATTTTTTCTGTGTTACTTTAAAAATTAGTTTGCTTAATTTTTCACTTTATTTTTTTTTTATCACGTATAATGTTAAGGTGTGGTAGCCCTGTGATATGCTCTTTGTGTATGTCAGATGTATTTGAAAATTTGAAACCTGAGTTTGAGTGCCTACCTAGTGAGTACCACCTTCGCGCTGACCTGCGTGGATGGTCCCACAATAATAACCAAGATCCCATCACTGGGTTAGAAAGAAATAAGGACACCTTGGGCTTGGGTGCATTGACAAAATTAAATAAAGTTTATAAAGTAATAATTAGTGAAATTAGTAATATAAAAAAAAAACATTTATTTTATTCTAAATCTAGGTCTAGACACATTCAATTGGGCAACAACAAAAATCGTATCTTTGAAGACAGAAGATTTCTCTTTGCCTTACCAAAGCGGTTCTCAACCTGTGAGTCGCGGCCCCTTTGGGGGGTCGAACAGCCCTTTCTCAGGGGTCGCCTAAATCCATCGGAAAATACATATACTCTACAATAATAAAGAAGCATCAAAAATAATTTTGTGGTTGAGGGTCGCCACAACATGTGGAACTGAAAGTAAGGGTCGCGGCATTAAGAAGGTTGAGAACCATTGCCTTAAAAGGTTCATAAAATGTAATCTTTTTTTTTAATCCCGAAGGCCTACTATTTGTTAAAGTTAAATGATGTTTTGTTGTAATTGTATGTAATTTATTTGAATTTGAACCAAAAAAATGGCATTTTATTTTTAATTTTAAAATAAAAATGCATTTATTAATAATGATTTAAGTTTGTTCTTATTTACTTATTTCCTTGTTTAAAGTTGATTATGGAATTTATTTCGCTAAAATAAGGGAGTACTTTACAGTATTGCTGACCTGCAAGAATAAAAGCAAAAAAAACTATGATACGTACCCTGGAGCGTGGTAGATGCACGAAAGCGAATGTACGTTTAAAATATTGCCTTCTTTGTCGTCTGCTACTGACTGCTGGCTGCTTATTTTATATGAAACATAAGAGTTACTCTTCCTATCGCATGTGAATGGTTCTCAAAATAATTCACTTTAAATTTATTTTTTTTTAAAGTTTTATCAGATATAATGTTTGCAGTTTTTTTTTATAGTGGCCATTATTAAAATAATAAAGATCCAATTACTTAAAGTTAAAGCGAAGCGGTGCTCTCCAGACTGTGTGAGTAGGTGTGTCAGGGGATAATAACTCATACCAAGTTTTGAACATTTTAAAAACTTTAAAAAAAAAAAAACGCCTAGAAATTGGGTCAAAATATAAACGCTGACACAACACTCAGTTATGAGTTATTCGTTAGCTCTGACTAGGTCTAGGTCGGAGGCTTGCGGTGAAAACGAATTTAGGGAAATGATGCTTACATTTTTTAAGAAAAAAAAAATCAAATGAATTGTGTGATCAAATTCAAAATATATTTTGTGCCCAAAATTGGCATATCTTGATCTTGCCAAAAAATATTAATATTCGAATATAATACAATATGGCATGTAAGGCTGTAAGGAAAATAGGAAAATAAAAGGGGTAGGCTACATCAAATTTGTGCTATGGGATATGCGTTTCAAAATTGCATCGTAAATATAAATGCAAGTTTTCCATTACTTATTTTGAGTATCATACGTTACTTCATTAATTTAGTACCGGGGTCGTAATGTCATCAAATGGGAAAGTTTAACTCCGGTATATTGGTAAAACTGACTTACTGTGTGATGTATGTCTGGTAAGTGTGTTATCAACACCCAATGAATATTGCGACAACTTCCACGATGTAGAAGACACAAACAGTGAAACACACACTGCTGCTGGTCATCTACTGCATCCTGGTCTACTTCCTGTCGTCTTGACTAAGTCTTGCCATTGGATCAAATAGGCAAGGACGAGAGAGTGAGACTGACAAATTGAGCTACTCTCCGTCACTTTAAACAACAACAACAACAAAAAAGCTCAGGTCAAGGGTACTACTCAAGTCGAAAATTGCCTTGTTGACCTTCACATTCGAAGGGCGAACAACATCAAGACCAAAACCTTGGCAAGCACTGACTTAAAGTAGATCTTTTTTTATTTATCAAAACTGTTGCTTCTTTTTTTTTTATTTATCAAAACTGTTGCTTCTTTTTTTTTTTTAGCATACTTCATGTGGTTTGTGTCTTGTTCTGACCGGGGAAAAAAATCATAAATAAAAGGCATTCAAGCAAGTTGATCATAGCGTAAATGTGCGGACGACCAGCCTCGGCTCCGGTGCCGCCAATGGCTCTTTATTTCGTAGACTGCATAAAACGATTTAACAAATAATTAACTGATTCTATTTATTTAAAATATGTTTATAAAAATTCGCGCTCCAAACCTGCCCTTATCTTTCGCTCCCGAAATATTTTCTCATCAGATAAACAGATGCAGGCCTATATAATGGCTCTACAATTATTTTTTTTTAATGGGGAGAGGGTGGTTGCCCCTGGCGTAACTGTTTTAGCTATTTGGAAGTTTACAAATACATAATCTCCATGTTTCATGCAACGCGTTTAAGTTTAAGAACTGCTGGCCTGACATAACCCATTTAAACAGTAGGTGACGTCGTGACTGGACGGGGCGGGGGCAGTTGTGGCAGAGCGGGATTCACTGGTTATAATGTATGCTAAATTGGTCATGATCTGAATGATGAGGCTTATTTTCATTGAAATATCTCCATCACATTCATATTCTTCCTTGACACTGATTGATCTATTAGGACAGTGTTTCCCAAACTGTTGACATCTGTGTACCCATGTCTATAATTTTCGTAATACTGAGTACCCATCGTTAAAAAAATAAATAATTGCATCTAATTTAATAACAATAAAAAGCAATATTTATTTTTTCCCTTTGCAGCGCGTACCTCAGCCAAGCTCTTCTCGTACCCCAGAGGTACACATACCACTCTTTGGGAAACACTGCATTAGGATGATCACATACTCAAACTTGGTTTGTTGCAGCACATTATAGATTATTGGAACATGTAAATGGATCCCCTCCCCCCTCTTACAAATGTTCCTATGACTATTTATCTCATTGCTGAAGCAGAGGTCAGAGGGCGATGGAGAAATTGGGAGGTTACACGTTTTGTGATAGATTGGCCTTGATGATTTAATAAAGTTGATGACGTAGTGAATTTGCCCAAATGAGTCTCTTTATTTCGCTTTCAACTGTTAAGAACCCCCCTCCCCCCCCACACCCCCCAGTGTAATTCAAAGGTTTGAGATTTCAAGGTTTCCAATTTTGGCATAAGATATTTGTTGGCTCTTCTGTTCCAGAAATTCGTCAAAATCATATTTTTTAAAACCAGTCATGCTACAATTTTCAAATTAATTCACTGAAATTCATAATTCAACCTTTGAAATAAGTAGCATATTAAATTTGTTTAATGTAGCAAGACACCCCCCCCCCCAGTGGTGTAGGAAGGGGATTGCGGTCCACCATAGGTGACATTTTGTGCTCTTCACATTGAGGGGGGGGGGGAATGTTCGGCAAATAGCAGATTTTTTTCGCGGAGGCGGGCAGCACGAACCCTAGCTACGCCACTGCCTCCCCCCTTCCACCCCCCACCTTCCCTCCCCCCCCCCCACCCAGTGGTGTAGGAAGGGGATTGCGGTCCACCATAGGGGACATTTTGTGCTCTTCACATTGAGGGGGGGGGGGAATGTTCGGCAAATAGCAGATTTTTTTCGCGGAAGCGGGCAGCACGAACACTAGCTACGCCACTGCCTCCCACCTTCCACCCACCACCTTCCCTCACACCCCCCCCCCAAGGCTCAAAGCCTTACTATTTTGTTACAGTTCTTCACCCCTCGACCCTTAGGTTTGTCGACTCACCATGTTTGTTGGTTTGTTGTTACAAAATTATTTAAAATGATTTTATTATCTAGGGAAAGGCGTGGCGTAAAGGTATAAGTAGGCCACAGTAGGCCACACAGTAGGCCACAGTAGGCCACACAGTAGGCCACAGTAGGTCACAGTAGGCCACTTGCTATTTTGTTGGTGAGAACTAAACATACATTCTGGGTCAAGAAATATAAACCCTTTTCTTAAAAGTAGATTTATTCCCAAATAATTAAATGTATGTATCTTGCAAGAAAGCGTCTTTGAACATATGACCGGGCAGGCCACAGAGCGATGATATAAATGACCGATAGGATCGTGTGCTGCTATTAAACTTTTTTTGTACTAACGACTGCAATCTTGTAGTAGTAGGCCATACAAGATGGTGGTCTGTCTGTAGTTAGGTCTTACGAGACGGTGGTCTGTCTGTAGTAGGTCCTACAAGATGGAGGTCTGTATGTAGTAGGTCCAACAAGACGGTGGTCTGTCTGTAGTAGGTCCTACGAGACGGTGGTCTGTCTGTAGTAGGTCCTACAAGACGGTGGTCTGTATATAGTAGGTCCTACAAGACGGTGGTCTGTCTGTAGTAGGTCCTACAAGACGGTGGTCTGTATATAGTAGGTCCTACAAGACGGTGGTCTGTCTGTAGTAGGTCCTACAAGACGGTGGTCTGTCTGTAGTAGGCCCTACAAGACGGTGGTCTGTCTGTAGTAAGTCCTACAAGACGGTGGTCTGTCTATAGTAGGCCCTACAAGACGGTGGTCTGTCTGTAGTAAGTCCTACAAGACGGTGGTCTGTATGTAGTAGGTTCTACAAGACGGTGATCTGTCTGTAGTAGGTCCTACAAGACGTTGGTCTGTCTGTAGTAAGTCCTACAAGACGGTGGTCTGTATGTAGTAGGTCCTACAAGACGGTGTTCTGTCTGTAGTAAGTCCTACAAGACGGTGGTCTGTATGTAGTAGGTCCTACAAGACGGTGGTCTGTCTGTAGTAGGTCCTACAAGACGGTGATCTGTCTGTAGTAGGTCCTACAAGACGGTGGTCTGTATGTATTAGGTCCTACAAGACGTTGATCAGTACATATTATCAGGGTTTCACAAACAATTAAATATGGCGGATTGTAGCTACATTTCCCTTTGTACCATTGAACAGCGGGAGATTCATTACGGTGGTGGGGGCTGGAAGGGCGGAATTTCATACACATCGTACCTGACATTGTCAGTGATGTGAAACTTTCTGTTGTGATGGATGTGTCCTGTTGTGATGGATGTGTCCTGTCGTGATGGATGTGTCCTGTCGTGATGGATGTGTCCTGTTGTGATGGATGTTTCCTGTTGTGATGGATGTGTCCTGTTGTGATGGATGTGTCCTGTTGTGATGGATGTGTCCTATTGTGATGGATGTGTCCTGTTGTGATGGATGTATCCTGTTGTGATTGATGTGTCCTTTTGTGATGGATGTGTTCTTTTGTGATGCATGTGTTCTTTTGTCCTGCATGTATTCTGATGATAGAAAATTCCGCTTTTGTAAATTCAACATGAAGTGTGGCTTAGATTAACTGTCACACTTTCTCAGGACCCCCTCCCAGGACCCCCTCCCCCCCCCCAACCGCGAGCGTACGCAGGTACTTAATGACGGCGCCTTAGGTGACCCTGTAGTGAGTGACGCATTGTTTGGTATCAGTAGGTTCACATTCACACAGACCTTGACCTACATCTGGTGACCTTTTACTGTGACGGGGGTCAGCTGTGCCGTACCTTGGCCTAATGCCAACCGGGGATGAACACCGAAAATTTCGCCCCACTCCACCCCCGACAAACATGCATTTATATTAAGTTTGTAATATACATTAACAACGTGCCTCCCGGGTGGTCACCACCTTCGCTCCCCCCCCCCCGGTCACGACCTACTAGAACCTACTACTCAAGTGGGTCATGCCCCGGTACGCGATTGTGTGTGTGTGGGGGGGGGGGGGGGGCTGGGTGTCTGCTTAGAAGCTGCAGGCCTACAGTACAGGCAGGAAGGGAACTGTTTGAAGACCCCCCCCGGTCACGACCTACTAGAACCTACTACTCAAGTGGGTCATGCCCCGGTACGCGATTGTGTGTGTGTGGGGGGGGGAGGGGGGCTGGGTGTCAGCATAGAAGCTGCAGGCCTACAGTACAGGCAGGAAGGGAAATGTTTGAAGTCCACTCTGTCTGAACGTGGTGCACTGGCCGGCTGATAAGGGAGATCATTCTAAACTTACTTCCTATGTGTTGAACCGTTCTCTAACGTCTTATTCATCCAGCAAATGGCTGGCTCCCTTTTTTTGTTAGAAACGAAGAAATGACTCGATTTTATAGGTCAAGAAACATTCTACATCTGTAGACAATTTAGTCAAACCATTTTCTCATAGTGACATGATTTTTATTGAGACAGAGATTCAGGCATGAAATATGTCAGGTAATTTATTAACAGTAGTCTAGAAAAGTATGGAGAATATGATTTATGGAAAACACATAAAATATAGTTACATAAATGATCACACACATATTGTAATTGGGTTTTTCCTAATCATCACATACTTGGACTTGGGGTTTTCAGACATATCTTATCATAGGGTCATTCAAAGATGCAGATATCATAATGGTTCTTCAAAGCCATCATGTCAGAGAGTTGTTTAGATCCACACATTTCCTGATACTGTAAGGTCATAAATGAACCAGTCAAATTTAATAATGATGATGACCACAATGTCATCAAATTATTGGATGGAAATTTCCTACAATGCTGTCCGCTCTATGTGTCCATTTTATTATGGCAACTAATGCATGAACAAACAGTTCCGCTCTATGAAATGGCTCCTTCAACATCTGAAAGTCGGCGCACCATCAAGACACCATCTCGTAATGGAACAAGAACCTGGCAGGAGACGATAAAATATTTGTTTGAAATTACTTTATTTCAGATTCAAAAACAATTTTACTCATTTAAACTTCCACAAAATGTCTCTCCCTAGCTTCTCTCTTAAGTTTTTTTTACTTTCCAGTTAGAAATCATCTTCTTACTTTGTGAAGGTCAAGGTTTGAGGCCAACCAATGGGCAAAACGCTTTGTATTGTTTTCTCCAGTAGTTGACATGTATCCGTCTCCTTGCATGAATGCATTGTCAATGAGCACTGAACCTCCAGGACCTAACAGATTCTTCTCAAAGGCATACTGCTTGAGTAATGTGAGACTTGAAAATTAATCAGCCCGAAAATTGACCACAGTTACATTTTACCTCCAAACATGTAGGCCCTCTAGCAATAATTACACCATAATAAGAATGAATATTTAAAAAAAAAAATTATTTGTTTCAGAAATGGTGCATTGTTTTACTAAGCAAAATACAACTTGTAAAAATGACAGAAAGGAAATATTTCTTTCAAATGTTTTCTTTAAAATTAAAATAGTTACATTTATTGTGTAAAATTTTTACATTTTACAAAGTCATTGAATTTAGAACCCTTTTTTTGAATTGAGATTTTTTCCCCCTCTGATCTCTTTTCCAAACTGACCTTGAAATATTCAAGGTAGTTTGCCTGATCTGCATCAAGAAATATGATGTCAAACTGCTCCCCACGTTCAGCCATTCTCTTGACTATCTCAGGTGCTTTGCCTAAATATTTAGATAATCTTATTTATTATCAAAGTCAAAAGGACACAATTAATGGAACATATTTCTTTAATAAACATATTTTATTAAAAAAATTGCATAATTATTTAATAAAACATATTAAACACAATAGATTGTATAGATTGTATTAATTAAGATTAAATATTTTACCGAGTGTTTGACCTCAAAGTTAAATGTTTGGAAATGAAAATTCAATCATCGAAAGAGTCACAGCGGATCTATTTAATTTTAGTGATGCATTTGAAATTTTAAAAATATATCTAATGGTATTTAAAATGTATTAATTTTTTTAGCTTTGGTCCTTTAAATAAACTTCGCCCATAAATGCTAAATCTCTAGCATAGGCCTACCTATGACACATTTGATCTTTCTGTGATGAGGTGACCGCTTAAACAGTTTATCTTCAACCAGTCTCTTGAGATACTCATCTTGATCAATAGTGACCATTTCACCATCAGCTGCAAAGTTTTCAATCAGTGATTTAATTAACTTCCGACTAAGAGAGGAAAAATATAAACAATAACGGATCCTAGGAAAAAATGTGGTATGAAAAAAAATTCCTTTCAAGTTCAGTTTTACATTAGTGCCAAAAGCCATATTTATTGATGTTCGAATAAATTATTATGTTACAGCACCTGGCAAAGCTTCAGCCATTGACAGTGCACTGTAGCCTGTAAACATTCCGATTTCTAGGATTCGTTTCGCTTTCTGGATGCTTACAATGGACTTTAAAAATTGACCTGAATTCATGGAAACATGAAGGTTGACATTTTTTATGAGCTGACCAAAACGTAATGTACCAGCGCTATCAAAAAAAGAAATGAGACAAAAGTGCATTGACTATTATTATAACACAAGGAATAAATAAATAAAAGAAATGGCTGGAACTAATATCTCATTAGCTATTCAAACAGTAAGTCAGAAAGTGTGAAAGATGTTTGACCCAGATGCTTCATTAGCTATTCAAACAGTAACTGTGAAAGATATTTGACCCAGATGCTTCATTAGCTATTCAAACATTAAGTGTGAATGATGTTTGACCCAGATGCTTCATTAGCTATTCAAACAGTAAGTGGGAGAGATATTTGACCCAGATGCTTCATCTACAGTACGGGTAGTAAAAATGAAGGTTATGACCTTTAATACTACATCAGGGGTAATAAAAGTTTATGACCTTTTTCAGCTTTTAACATTCAAGGGCAGGACACTGACTTACTACATTCATTCTGTACAGAATGACTACATTATTTCAGTGGATCTAATGGCATTAGTTCATTTCTGAATGAATAGATTAACTCAAGTAATGATGTCACTACATTATTTCAGTGGATCTAATGGCATTAGTTCATTTCTGAATGAATACATTAACTCAAGTAATGATGTAACTACATTAATTCAAGTAATGACTTATTACATTAATTTAGCACTGACTGACCACATTAGTTCAGGTCTGACTACATTCATTTAAACTACCTTCCGTTGGTCCACTCATCATAAGAGGCATGAGGTACCAGCTGGTCTTGCCTTGTTGGTGGGCAGCTGCCCAGTCATGCTTGTTTGTCTCAGACAGAATGTTTTTACAGGCATCGCTGGCCTCCGAGGTGCTGGACTTTGTGAACTGCTCTCTCTGCTGTATCAATTGACATGCTGACTGAAGAGCTCTGATGACCTCTGGGGAAGCTTTAGTCGACTGAGCTAGCTTTAAAGCCTTCTCAACCTTCTCTACGGCGGGATCGTAATAGGAAAGGATGTGTTGGCTATCAGACATTTTTCAACAACTGAAATGTAAACAAATCTATTAGCTTGAATGCAAGTGTACAAGATATATTTTAAGTGTACTTTTTTGTGTACATTCAGACTTACTACCAATAATGAGCATATCATTGAAAATTCCAGGTGATTGCTTTCAAAAAGCATCAAATGAATGGTAGTGTTAATTCTATCATCTCTATAGACCATAATCCTTGTACTAATGTCATTTTATGAAAATCATATTAAATCTTTGTATCATATCATAAGGGACAAATCTATTTATTACTTGATAATGTAAAAATGTCACATTTCATTCTAATAATAGCGTTAGATCTATGCAATAAATGTTTAATATATAACAGCTCACCAATCTTAAGCCCCTCATATAATTCTGTTTCTAACTGCATAGTAAGTTAAAAAGTCCTTAGTCATGCTGGCTTCAACAGCTCACAGTCAATCCCAGTCTGATCAATGTATGCATAAACATAGAAATATGGCCTTCTTTTCCAGTTGACTGGTGTTCAGTGCCTGAGAAGTCTTTTTTAGCTATCAGTTTTTTCACCACATATTTTGTTTATACCTGTATCTTTGTACAATCTTGTCTACTCGGGCAGTTAAAAATTTGTCTAAGGTTTTTGTGAAACTGGTATATCATCTGAAATTTTTGGTGATATTGGCATGCCATCTGACACAGTGGTTGATACTGGCATGGTTCTGAGATTGTGATTGAAATTGACATATCTGACATTGTGGGTAAAACTTGTATGGCATGTGACATTGTAATATTTGTATGGCATGTGGCATTGAGGGTAATATTTGTAGGAAGGAATGAATTATTTTTTATACAATATAACAATCTAGTGGCAGTACCGATAATTTGATAATCTTTAATACTGAAAAATAACAAATGAAATTAACCAAAATTAAAGACAATGGACACTGGAATTATTAATATTATTCTTTAATTTGCCTCCTGAACACTGTAAAAGTAATAGTTTCACATACTTCTTAAGCTGTGTTTAAGCTGTGTTTAATGCTTGAACACCAGTAAAAAAAAAACATTGTTGTAATATGTCCAAAATAACCTGCAACTGTTTTAACATACAAAATAGATTGCAATTACTATGTCACAGATTTATGGTCCAAAAGAAAGCAAATTAAATTATGTGAACAGATGCCCATTAATTTTTGAAATGGTGTGAGAGCAGCAAGACTTTGATTGGTGAGAAAGAGTGAAGTTAAGCACCAAAACATGGTGGATCTGAGCACCAAAATATGGTGGATCTGAGCACCAAAACATGGTGGATCTGAGCACCAAAATATGGTGGATCTGAATGGCCTGAGATAAGTTCATACAATCCTTTAAGCTGAGTAAACAAAATATCCATTGCCCTGTTTTAAAAGTCCAAAGGAGATAAGCTAAATGAAATTCAAGAGAGATGAGCTCTTAAAGCATACACTTATGTCAACACTTACATATTTTTTTTTTACAGCAAAGTTGTTGAGTTAAGAATAGAATTATTAGTAAAATAGGTTAAGAGTCCCATCAACAGACATAATTCATAAGTGCAACACAAAATATCATAATCATTTTTAATCCTTTTTCTTTGTCTTTTTTAACTCTGAGTGGAGCATGGCATAGACCATTTTAAAAACTTGTCTTTTTTAACTCTGAGTGGAGCATGGCATAGACCATTTTAAAAACTTGTCTTTTTTAACTCTGAGTGGAGCATGGCATAGACCATTTTAAAAACTTGTCTTTTTTAACTCTGAGTGGAGCATGGCATAGACCATTTTAAAAACTTGTCTTTTTTAACTCTGAGTGGAGCATGGCATAGACCATTTTAAAAACTCTTTCTATGCCATCTGGTCTCTTGCCATCTTCTCTAGCTCTATCCAACTCTTCACATTTTAATGGTCAGAAGTTTTTGGTTTCATCCCATCCGCTTGATCCTTGGGGGTTCTAAAGTTATATTTGGCATACACTGCCAGCAATTAAATTTTTTACAACAATTTCTTTTTTACTTTAAAAAAAGTATAATCAGTAAAATAAGTTAAGCATATCATCAACAGACTGACTTCAATCAACAGACTGATTTTATAAGTTGTACAACACAAATCTCATGATAGTTTTTAATACTATAGACTGTAGCATTAATATCAAGCACCAACTGTAAATGCAGACTGAAAAAAACAACAACACAATGATGTAGGGATTACATATTTATATAACTTTGATCTGTGAACAGTTAGCCACTGATTTTATCACCATCCCTTAAAGTGAATCTGTTGCCCAATTTAATGACCAAAGGGCAGTTCATTTTACGGTACCAAAATCTTGTGAACTTTCTTGAGAAATTATTTTTTTTGGATTGTTTTCAAAATGTGAATTCAACTTTTGACATAAAAAAAGCCCTGGAATAATATTTAATAAAACAAACATTCATCTTTCTTTATAATAAAACAAGACATCTCCTAGATTGTAATAAGCCTAGAGATTTCCTTCTACATCTGTCTTTCTCCTGATAATTAGGATGCCATCTCTGATGGGTACCAGAACCTGGTAAAAGAATATTAAAGAACCTGGTAAGAGAAGTTTTGAAAACCAGATAAGAGAAGGTTTAAGAACCTGGTAAGAAAAGGTGTTAGAACCTGGTAAGAGAAGGTTTCAGAACCTGGTAAGAGAAGGTTTAAGAACCTGGTAAGAGAAGGTTTAAGAACCTGGTAAGAGAAGGTTTAAGAACCTGGTAAGAGAAGGTTTAAGAACCTGGTAAGAGAGGGTTTAAGAACCTGGTAAGAGAAGGTTTAAGAACCTGGTAAGAGAAGGTTTAAGAACCTGGTAAGAGAATTTTCAGTTATTTCATGTATGACTTGCTACATCCTAACCTCCTTTTTAGCATGTGTTCTTAACTCTATACCCACAGTGTGATGCAATCAACTTACTCAATGTAATGATGTATCCATTACAATCAACTTACTGAATGTAATGATGTATCCATTACAATCAACTTACTGAATGTAGTGATGTATCCATTAAAATCAACTTACTGAATGTAGTGATGTATCCAACAATCAACTTACTGAATGTAGTGATTTATCCTCTACAACAGACTTGACAAATTTCTTTGTGACTGTTTCCCCGGCTTCAGGAATGTAGCCGTCTCCATATCTGTAAGCATTATCCACCAACACAGTGCCCCCGGGACGAAGCAGGTTAAGCTCAAATGCAAACTATTAGAGAAAAGGATAAGAATGACTCTACAATGACAATCAAAGACAGAGAACATTTGATGCTCCATAGATGATAGAAACCCACTTGGCCTGTTGGTCTTCCTTGTCACTTTGTTAACATTTCTGTAATAAAGATAACGTCTCTGTTATAAAGATAACATCTCTCTTATAAAGATAATACCTCTCTTAAAAAGGTAAAATCTCTCTTATAAAGGTAACATCTCTCTTATAAAGGTAACATCTGTGAGAATGTTTGGTAGGGGGAGTTGTTGATCGTGAGAATGTTTGGTAGAGGGAGTTGTTGATCATGAGAATGTTTGGTAGAGGGAGTTGTTGATCCTGAGAATGTTTTGTCAGTTGTAAGTCGTGAGGTCAGAGCGTGGAGTTGGTTCGTGTTGGGCTTTAGGGTATGCTGAGAGTTTGTATGAGACTCACTGTTGTTAGGGTGACCACTTTTTGGCCCATGAGTTATGTTATGAATTGTATTACTGTGGCTAAGTGGTAATTGGATGACAGAGAAATAATAATAAACAAGTGAGTGCATATAAGGAGAGGGAAAAGTGATCATTGGTGAGAGTTGTGACATGAGTCAAGAGATATAGTGTTTTTGTTAGATTCACTGTATGGCTTGTTGCCTGAAGATTTTATTCTTCTGCTGGATGAATTGTGTAGCAACTGTGTTTTTTAATAAGTGGATGTTCCAGTACATGTAAATAAATACATAATTTACAATAGACTAGTTGGTGTTTGAGTTACTTGACCAAGAGGGAGAGATGAGAATTAACCATACAGGTCTGACATAAGGTTAGACATCGAGTAGTCATCATTGGAGGTTGTAACCCCTAGACAACTGGAGAAGGCCGCAACAATAAGTTTTTAATTTCTATTTATTTGTTGTTTCTTGTTTGCTTGTCTGCTAAAAAAGCAGGCATTTGGCCAAAATGTCCTTGTAATTGTCCAGTCATTTTTTAAAAAGCCTGAACATATCTGGTTCCAATATTTATTAACAGTTTTATCTAGAATTATTTCAAAAATGACATCCAACCTTAAAATAAACAGGATACTCTGACTTGTCTGCATCCAGGAAGATGATGTCAAAAACTTCCTTGTTGTCCACCATCTGCTGGAGTAACTCCGGGGCTTTACCTTGGAGTAAATATTAATTCAAGATTCATTCTAATAAATCCTTAAGTAAACCAGAAAAACTTTTGATTATAATGTGCAAAGAAATGGGATCTACCTTTAAAGGAATCAGTATTCAAGTTAAGTGAGTCAAGTGACATTCAAGGAATCAGTATTCAAGTTAAGTGAGTCAAGTGACATTCAAGGAATCAGTATTCAAGTTAAGTGAGTCAAGTGACATTCAAGGAATCAGTATTCAAGTTAAGTGAGTCAAGTGACATTCAAGGAATCAGTATTCAAGTTAAGTGAGTCAAGTGACATTCAAGGAATCAGTATTCAAGTTAAGTGAGTCAAGTGACATTCAAGGAATCAGTATTCAAGTTAAGTGAGTCAAGTGACATTCAAGGAATCAGTATTCAAGTTAAGTGAGTCAAGTGACATTCAAGGAATCAGTATTCAAGTTAAGTGAGTCAAGTGACATTCAAGGAATCAGTATTCAAGTTAAGTGAGTCAAGTGACATTAATTTTTGTAATGATGTGGTTATATTCTCACCAATTACAATGTTAATTTTTTTGTGATGTGGAGACTTGCTCAACAATGCTTCCCCCACAAATTCCTTTAAATATTCATCCTGATCGATTGTCACAACCTGGCCATCAGCTGGAACAACAAGCACATATAGTCTACATTCCAGAAAATGAATGTTTTATACATTTCAAGAAAATATTGTTCTCTTAAAATAAAATGAGATTTTTTTGTCTAATAAAACTCATTTTACCACAGAGTTATGTATCTTGTCCTGGTAATGGAGAATGGTTCAAATTTAATGTCAGTTACCGGTACCAGGTCTCACAACAATTCTTTGGAAAACAGATGGACCTTCAGTCTTATACTTGGATGGACCTGATGTCTTATACTTGGATGGACCTGCTGTCTTATACTTGGATGGACCTGCTGTCTTATACTTGGATGGACCTGCTGTCTTATACTTGGATGGACCTGCTGTCTTATACTTGGATGGACCTGCTGTCTTATACTTGGATGGACCTGCTGTCTTATACTTAGAGGTTGAATAACTTCTATCTTAAAATACCTGATATATACTTTTAAAGTAAATGAACAATGATTAAGAAGTTACTTTAATTCCCATTACCGGTATATTTAAGTTTTATCTATGTGTCCCAACTTTGCGATTATTTGCATCACCGATGCATTGTTTTATTAAGTCTTGACCCTCCTATAAATTGTTTAACTAAGCCTCGCACACTGACAAAATTAACAGTGCACTTTAAAATCTGAAATAACTGACATATTTTTCTACAATGAATTACTAAGAGAATTGTACAACTTATAGAATTAACTTGTGATTAATTACATAAAGTAAAGTAGCATTTAAGTGAAGAAATTTTTTTAAAAATATATAAACATTTCTATCATAACTTAAAAGTCAGTGGCTCCTCTGTTTTTATAATCTATTTATCGCACCTTATGAAATGCAACCTCACAACCCATGGGGTCCTCGCACGACAGGTAGGGAAACCCAGCTTTATAATGATAAAACTTACCTGGCAAAGCTTCCGCCATTGACAAAGCACTGTATCCAGTAAACATGCCAATATCAAGAACTCGTTTGGCATTATGAATACTGACTAATGATTTGAGAAACTGTCCTAAATGGAAGAGCAGAGAATAGTTTGTAACTAATAACAGAAGCATGATTACTAATCTTATATGTTTAAAGGGTATTAATTTTTGTTTACAATTCTGCAGGGTAAAAATGGGTCATAATCTGCAGTGACAGCCAAAATTCAATACCGGTATCAACAAATGAAAACTTGAAAGTTACTAAAAATGTATTAGTGAGTAAGAAAAGTGTTGCATTAAAGACTTATTGGTAGCTAATTGCTTAGGAATATTGCTTATCTGATTTTTAAAAAAAAAAATAATTTTTGGTCATTTTTAACACCTATTCAATGTGCAATCTCAAGTCTGATTCGTTTTCTATAAGGGGGGTTGGGGGGGGGGGGGGAGAAGAAATAAAACAAACCTTCTAATGGGCCGGTCATCATTTGGGGAAGTAAATTCCATGTAGTTTTGCCTTGATCATGGAGTGTTTTCCAGTCATGGCTGTAAGTTTCATCTAGAATATTTTCACAGGGTTCACTTTGTGTGCTAGTGGCATAGAGTGTAAACTCTTCCCTCAGGTGAATCAGTTCAAGCCCTGACTTCAGGGCCTTAATGATTTCTGATGATGCTTGAGTGGACTCCGCCAGTTCAAGTGCCTTCTCAAATTTAGATATAGCTGGATCACAATGATCACGGGTGCGCAATTGTTTATTCGCTGACATGTTTGCTTAGTTGAAAATATTCAAAAATAGGCATTAACAAATTGTGATAAGTATAGAGAAAATGCTATACATTTTACTGAGACATAAAAAAAGATATAATTATTCTACATTTTACAATTATCATTTATTTCATTCCACTATTATTTCCCCTTACATTGAATCTATTTTGGGAGAGAACATCAAGTGTTCCAGTGAAAATGGAGATGGATAGGGCACACGTCAAAGAAACCAAACACTAACATCACATTGGAATCCTTATGGTGACAGGAAAAGAATAGAGGATGATCAAGAGCCACATGGAAGAAAATGAAGAAATGTTGGGCTAAACTAGCAGAGATAACCCAGGACAAGGACAGATGGAAAAGTTTTGTGGATGGCCTTTATTCTTTTGGGAGTAAGAAATGCTAAGAAGAAGAAGACATGCATAGGCCTATATTTCTCTTCTGACAGGCTTTGATTTGAGGACTGAAAATCTATAAAAGTTGAAACGTAACATTAACATTTAATAACAGTTAACTTGCAATATATGCTTGCCAATTATGGTCATATTCATTCAAACTAGTGAAAAACCTGGATTTTGTCAGCCACACAACAATCGTATAATGATTTAAAAATTGGTAATTTACCACTTGAGCGTCGGCCAGGAAAAAATCCAGTTGTTCCGGTTTGAAGGGCTATTTAAACAATTATTATTATCTTGTTTTTACGATGTTGTACATATTCTTCTTATCTACATGAATTCATGTACCGCAACCGTTTTTGAGGACATTATATTTTCAAGAACTTCATTCTTGCCTTGGGGGAGAACTATGCATAATGTCATTTTTACACATTACATTGTTTGATTTCTTCTATTTTAATTTTTTTTTTAATTAAATTGTTTTACATTTTCTATTTTTTTAAATTGTCTTGTGTTATTTGTTCTACCCGGTACTGCATATGTGCTGGAAGAGTATGTACAACGTCGTAAAAACAAGATAAGAATAATTGTTTAAATAGCCCTTCAAACCGGAACAGCTGGATTTTTTCTTGGCCGACGCTTAAGTGGTAAATTACCGAAAAATGCAGTGCTTCTTAGGGAAAAAGGAAATTCCAGCCACTAATTTAAAGACAGAAGCCAACTTGGCATGGGATTTTTTTAAAAAGGTGGTTCCCAAACAATTATTGATATTGAAGATAAAAAATAACTAAGACTAAACAATATATATTTTTAATTATATTATATTATATACTTCTTAATTATTAGTTTTTGAATTTTCTCTATGACTTCTCTGCTTATAATTATAAGTAGGCCTATTGACTAATTAATATCCCTTACTAATCAGCTGGTTATTTAAATTAATTTTTTAGGTCTACTCTGGTCATTAAGTCTGATTAGGCTTAGGGTCCATCCAGTGTAATATGGAAAACATCAACTTGATGAGGCCACATAATGCTGCTAATAATGTCTTGGTTGAATTAGGACATTTGCTAAGCCAAGCAGATACTTCTTTTTATAACTGAACAAAGATTGTCAGAGTGACAAATTTTTTAGAGCAGGTTATTAAAAATGTATCAAATTCATTTTCAATTAAATTTGCTATGTTTCTCAAATTTAAATGACGCATTTTTACTAATAAATAACAATCAGTATAAAATAGTTTTAAATTCATGCAAAATTCAAATTATTGTCATTATTATAATATTATTAATTCGTCTGTAAATTTGACTTTGTCATCTCACCACCGATTAACTATATTAATTAAATAATACATCACTTTCATAATTTAATTTATCATTATTACATAATATCCATTATCACTGACTCACCCGCGATGCTTCAAGATTAATAGGTTATAAATGAAGACCTCAGAGGAAAAACCAGACATGTCACATTTTGCAGATTTTGAGAAAAGTGGATTTTAAAGTTTGAAAGTATCCAATATTTTCACTTGTTAAAATAAAATGCTATAATTTTGTTTGTAGTTAGTCATACCATTTTACTTTCAAAATATATCAGTTATTAAATATTTTGTGACAATTTACTACATTTTTACAGCTTTTTACCGGGCTGACCCAAAATTGTGACTTGTCTGCTTTTTCCACTGAAAATGGAAAACTTTTTTTAAAACCATATTTTATGGCTTTTAATAGGCCATTACTTATCTACTTCATCACAAAGTCAACTTAAGAGACCACTTTTAATAATAAAACCAATTGAGGCCGAAAACACCCCTGTTATTATACCCCAAAAAAATAATTAAAAGTTATAACTTTTACCAAAAAAAATCTAAAGTCTAAAGCCAAAGCAGTGTTCAGTGTACAAGCCACTGATATCTTGTACTGTTGGTGTAATGAGTCAATATAATAAATTCTATCAAATTTATACTTTCACAATGTCATTACCATTCAGTTTGTTATAAATTATATGTAACACATGACCCTGAACTGGTATTGAAGTTGATGAAATAGGAATATGCTTGTTTTATTCTATTGTTATACTTATACACACTAGCACTAGCACATAAGGGTATTGATTTTCATTCAAATAAAATAAAGAGATTATGGCCTGCATTTTCAATAACAATGAAAAGATAAAGGTAGTTATAATACGTTTAACAGCTTTTAATCGGGAAGGATCACATGCAATAGCACAAAATATGTTGTAAATCATTGTATTGTTCTCATCATTGCCATCTGCCGTCAGTGAGTCAGTGACAGTGGTCTGATTAAAACGATGCATGAAGCAGGAGACGAGCAGACTTTTTGTTCTGCTGTTTTCTTTTTTGCCTTTTTGGGACAATTATCATTTATCATCAGAGGCGATGTTTAACAGAAATGTAACATCGTAACGCACTAAGCATGCTGAGCTTACTTTAAGAAACACAATACTGATACTAGGTACTACACTAAAAATTTCAAAGTTGTTATATATTAATGAAACTTATATCATTAGAAAGGACTCAGTATTTCCTTTCCATTGATACCTATTTTATCTTTCTATCTTAAGTAGAACAAAAGTTATCACATTTTTAGTGTCAGAATTTTTCCTTATATAGCCTTAGTAAATATTTTCCAAAATTCTGTGACCGAAAAAAGACATCTTTGACACTCAAAATGCGATAACTTTTTATTCAGCAAAGTTAAAGCTTTGAAACTTGCAACGCATTTCAATTAAGTTTTTGGCTTTAATAATAAATCATTGTTATGCAAATAATACAATAAACATATTAATGTGTGCGATTTGACGAACAGAGGGTACGTAAATTTCATTAAAAACGTAGCGCCTGCTCCCAATACTCAAAATGCCATAACTTTTTTATCTGTAAAGTTAAAGTCTTCATATTTTCAGCATAATTTAAGTAGGTATTGGGCTTTTATAATAAGCCACTTTCTTATTAATATTTAGACTAATGTATTAATGCCCTGGATTTGAACAACAGAGGGTAAGTAAATTTCATTAAAAATGTAGCGCCGTTCTCAATACTCAAAATGCCATAACTATTTTCCCTGTAAAGTTAAAGCCTTCAAATTGTCAGAATATTTTAAGTAGGTATTGGGCTTGTATAATTAGGCATTTTCATATTAATATTTTGACTAATGTATTAATGCGCGGGATTTGAACAACAGCAGGTAAGTAAATTTCATTACAGATGGAGCGCCCGTTCTCAATACTCAAAATGGCTTAACTATTTTACCTGCAAAGTTAAAGCCTTCAAATTTTCAGCATAGTTTCATTAGGCATTG